ACTGCAATCCACTGTCACAACATTGACAGCACAGTCCAGCCCATCCACAGAACACCCATATAGATGGCGCGACAGGTTTTGCAGTCGCCCAGCGCCGAGAATCTTATGGTGTAAACCAAAGTCATGTACCAGGCGAGGAAGAAGAGGTCGAGGAGGGAGGGCAGTTGGAGGGCTTTTCTTATCCCCGGATGACTGGAGCCGATTTTCTGATAGTGGATTAGGAGAAGACAGCGGCAGCTACTGCTGACGATGCCCGTCAACAAGACAAGCGTCAGAATTCCCAGAGTGCTGCCGGTCTGGGAGAGAATTTCCAGCTCTGCAAAGGTGAGAAGGCAGTCGTCAGCCGGAGAGACGTATTGAAGAAACATGCGAGTATTTTGACCTGGCTGGCTGTTGTCCGGCCTGCTTTTTTAAGCCCTGCAGTATTATTTTCTGATTGGTGGCTTGTTGTCTCAGCAGATGGGAGGTGGGCAAACGAAATATTATTATTATTATCGGTTATTATCGGCACATAACGTGTCAGTAGGTTACTTTAAAAAAAAGCATTTGCTCCGCGACGCTTCATGCCACTTTTACACGCCTTACCTACTCCGCGATTTTTTCAGCCGAGCCATCGGAGTTTGTGTAAATTAGCGTCTTTTAGGCTATTAATATTTGTTTAATTTAACATTATCGTGTGCGCTCTTGGAGAAGCAACTCTTTTGCTCACAAGGGCTGCCCTGGAAGTGTTAGTTAGACAGAAATTATTTTGGGCAACAGATACTCATTTGACTGTGGAAATTCTGGTTTAATCAGTGTTCCTAGCGGCAATCGAATAAATTGCTGTTCAAATTCGACATATTCCAAGCTAGGACGGCACATAGCAGGAGACACCTCCTCTGCGTTCTTGGGGTCAGGAAGACAAGGAAACTCCCACACGCGAAAATGCGCAGGAACAAATGGGCACGCGCGTGCGTAACTGCATTGCCAGGTTTTTGATCCCTGAGGAGGCCGACGCCATAGGATGACTGCCCGAATTGGCTGATCGCGCATGGGCCAATAAGAACAGGCACAGTGAACAAATGCCGCCTGCACTTAAATGCAATGCATCAGGCAAAAAACGGGACTTGCTGCCCACTGAGGGGACTTGAAGCACACACGTAGAACTTGCTGGACATGAGAAGAACTTGCGGACACAGGGGCACGTAGAGAGACACGCAGGAAAGCCGTTGTGTAAACAGGTGCACTGTTGCCGTAAAATGTCTTTTGTTATCCTTACTCTCTTCTATTCCACGCATACAACTGGGCGAAATAACATCCCGCTTTTAGAGGAAGTGTAAAGAAAATTCTTACCCAAATGCGAACAAGGAAATATGCGGGATGGTGCGGCGCTCAAGGATCTGGGAACATGCCTGTAGACTGTTTCACAATGCTATGGTCCGGAATGTCGGTATATCCCCATCTTAGGTGGTGCGATTAGGTAGAACTGATTGATTCTAGCTAATAAAAACTCTTCCATCTACTCTGGCCTTTAAAGACTTCTCCTCTCCCCTAAGTAACCATGGTCTGAAGATCGCAGTGGCTGGGTTTAACTCATTTAACCCCCAGCGATATTGGTGACATTCCGACATGAGATGAACACTCAACTTCTGATCTGGCTGAGCTCAATCATCGTCAAACCT